TGCGCGGGGGGGGGGCGAGGGCGTGTGCTCACACTCAGCATACTACACACTCTGCGATCACATCACATCATGTATGACACAGCAGGCGTGTTTTATCCGCGTTAATGTCAATCACGTGACGCTAATGAAGGCCTGGCTGCGGGAGGAGTTTCCATGGAAACAGAGATGCTCGACTGAATACTCGTGTACTGCGTACTGTATACTGCATACTACTTCAAAACAGCACGCAGCACGTGAGGATGAAGGTTTCAAACAGCTGTATTTGTGTAATATCATAAACACTAGACGTCCTGCTGCCATTGCACAAATAAATACATTAATTTCGCATTATTAATCCAAACTTGTCAGTCTGATCAGACACTTATTAAAGATATAAACTCGTAATTGTGAGATAAAAATACACAATTACCTTGTTTATATTTTTCAGTCATCATACTGGAAATGACAAGCACATTGCATTGTGGGATATAGTCTGTTAGATGTGTACGGCACTGGCAAACAAGGACAAAGTGTTTAGTCTCGCGATGTAACGTAGCGACAAATCTTCTCAAGCCAGACTTAATTATGCCTGCTCTGACCCATCTCAGCGAACCAAAGCATACTGTTGTAATTGCTGTATAAATGCACTCATGCCACCTCTGAGCAGCATTAAACAATCTGTGTGAAGACGCTTCAGAAGCGCTTCTGTGCCTGTGTGAACGCAGCTTTACAGAAATGTGTTTTAAAGAGATTTAAAGACATTTAAAGGTTGAATTGTTTTATTGTGCATCCGCAAGCACTGTAAAAACATTGATATACAACAGCAAGAACTATCGATGCGTTCATACAAAAACATCTTCACATGCAAAATAAAAAACATGGTTTTCAAATCAACATAATGAAAGAATACGATCACAGAAAGACACGCGTGGCCAGACATTCCCCGATTAAAAGAAGATCCTTCAATTCCCAACCTCCTCTGAGCTTTAAAATACAAAACAACATGACATTAAAAAAAAAAGAACTGCAGCGATCAACAGATTTGTAAAAACACTAACGATTCGTTTGATCAGATGTCTCCCCAGAGAAACACCAGCGCTCGGTTATTAGTGTGAAGAAACACACGAGGAGCAATTAATGCAGATTATTAGTGGAGACTGATGACGTCACTAAACAGAGGGATGATGGGATGCTAAAGCCGTCTGATCTGCAGATGAGTGAGAGACTCGGGAGCTGATCTGAGATCAGTGACGGGTCTGTAGTGTTGATTCGTTCATGCTGGAGTTTCTCCCGGTTCCTGAATGACTCCACTCACTCATCTGCCGTCTGAAGACTCAATAACCGAGCGACCGGAAAGCTTCTCCAGAACAGCACACGGTCACGTGACCCGCCGTCTGCTCCGACTGAACGCGAACGAAGCTGAGAATCTCCATCCATCTGCACGACTGCAGTTTTGTTCAATTGTGAAAGATACGTGATCAAGTGATAAACGAAACAAACAAACAGAGACAGTAAACAATCACTGATATAAATACAGCTGTATAAAGACCATCAGGTGACCAGTCTTTTGTTGTTCCGTATTTATACTGTAGTATTTAAGTTTGGGAGTGTTTCTGGAGTCCATCTGCGGCGTGTGTGTGTCTGTCAGTGTGTGTGTGTGTGTGTGTGTGTGTGTGTGTGTGTGTGTGTGGCTGTCTCACAAACACACACTCACACTGGTTTGTTTTTGTGAAAAGGGGGGACATCCCATAGGCATAATGGTTTTTCTACTGTACAAACTGTATATTCTATTGCCCTACACCAACCCTACCCCTAAACCTACCCCTCACAGGAAACTTTCTGCTATTTCAGATTTTCAATACACTCCATTCTGTGTGATTTATATGCGTTTTGAAAAGTGGGGACATGGGGTAATGTCCTGAAAAGTCACCTTCTCCTTGTAATACCTATGTTATACCTTTGTCATTATACAAATTTATGTCCTCATTTGTCACAAAAACGCGCACACGCTGTCTCACAAACACACACACACACACACACACTGTCTCACAAACACACACTCACACACACTCATGTCTACCTGAGAGACGGTAAGACCAAACGCTCAATCACACAAAGGCAAATGCTGGATCCCACCCGGGTGAGATGGGCGGCACTGCTGTCAATCATCAGACTGGAGGCGGAGCCTATTGGGGCATGGCTGCTACAACCCGTCCTGCAGTTCTTTCGCTTTAATGAGGATGGCGTGAACGTCAGAGATGGGATAATCCTGAAGAACAGCAGATTGTATGTTAGGAGGACGGTGTGTGTGTGTGTGTGTGTGTGAGTGTGTGTGTGAGAGAGTGTGGTGTGAATCACTGAAGAAAACTTCACAGAACAATAAAGTGCAGCACGTATGGAAATCATTTGTAGGAATCTGAAAAAGCTTTTGCTGAGCACCTGACGAGCATATGAACATATCAGCTACCAATACTAATGCATTTCATTTGAACATATTTAAGATCAGAGAGAAGTGTTATCCTGCTTTTTATGGTTTTCATTTTTATATATATGTTTGTGTAAAATGTTTGTAAAAAAATAACATATATTATTTATAAATATAAATGCATACATACACACACACACACACACACACACACAGGTTTGTTTTTGTGAAAAGTGGGGACATCCCATAGGCGTAATGGTTTTTATACTGTACAGACCGTATATTCTATTGTCCTACACCAACCCTACCCCTAAACCTACCCCTCACAGGAAACTTTCTGCTATTTCAGATTTTCAATACACTCCATTCTGTGTGATTTATATGCGTTTTGAAAAGTGGGGACATGGGGTAATGTCCTGAAAAGTCACCTTCTCCTTGTAATACCTATGTTATACCTTTGTCATTATACAAATTTATGTCCTCATTTGTCACAAAAACGCACACACGCTGTCTCACAAACACACACACACACACACACACTGTCTCACAAACACACACTCACACACACTCATGTCTACCTGAGAGACGGTAAGACCAAACGCTCAATCACACAAAGGCAAATGCTGGATCCCACCCGGGTGAGATGGGCGGCACTGCTGTCAATCATCAGACTGGAGGCGGAGCCTATTGGGGCATGGCTGCTACAACCCGTCCTGCAGTTCTTTCGCTTTAATGAGGATGGCGTGAACGTCAGAGATGGGATAATCCTGAAGAACAGCAGATTGTATGTTAGGAGGACGGTGTGTGTGTGTGTGTGTGTGAGTGTGTGTGTGAGAGAGTGTGAGTGTGAGTGTGTGTGTGTTACCTGCAGTAATCTCATGTTAATTGTAAAGTCTCCAGCCAGTAACTGATCTCGAATCAGTCTGCAGAAGCACAAAGACATGAAGAACAGAAGGAGTCAGCGTGAACTTACTGAGGACACATTTATTTCTATAGTGCTTGATTCAGTACAGATCGTTTCAAAGCAGATTCACAATAATAAACAAGGAAATAACGATGCAAAATCTATGAATTATGAAAAAGTCAATTTCAGCTGTCCGTCAGCGCTACAGAAAACAATAGTTTCATTATTCAGATCAATTCAGTTAAAATTTTGCTCTCATCTGAATATTAATTGTGTTTTGAAGCCGTCTGTGTGCCAGATCTTACGTGAGCATGGCGCAGCACACAGGGATGAGGAACTCGAACCGCTCCTGATCCGAGAAGAGCGAATCCCAGATCCGGATGACGTCTGGAAGCAGGAACTCCTGAGAGAGCAGCAGCGTCAGCCAGCGGAAGGTGAAGTACTGCGGCTTGATGTTCTGCTCTTGCTGCGACACACACACAGACGTCAGCGAGTGCGTGCGGTTAAAGCGAGAGCGTTAGCCTCATCCTGATCCTCACCAGCTTCAGGTACAGCTCCGTGTCCTTCTCCTTGAGTTTGGAGAAGACGCTCTCCATCTTGAAGGTGATGCCGCACTGAGAGTCGTCCAGGCTTTTGATGAAGTTATCTCTGTTCTCGGACATCAGGCTGGTGAAGCAGAAGAACGTGTCGGCCTCCGCGTGCTCTACAGACAGAAGAACAGTGTTTGATGAACGTGTCTGTGTCTCATTCATAACAGGCTGCAGCCACTCATTGATACACTCCATCAGAAAACAACAGCAGATTTCATTATTGATCAATCAGATCTGTGAGCGCTTTGGGTGATCGTGCTGTTCAGACGCATTTTACTACAACTTATTATCTCACGATCCATAATGTTATTCTTTGTAACACAATGCATTTATTGTATTAACAGAGAGATTCACCATTAAATCACCCAGTCGCATCGGTCTAACAGGGACAGTGATGATACGCGTGCTCGTTCCCTTACAGGGCGTCACTACAGACAGCAGTCAAAGCCTCACCCTTCCACTGGCTGCTGGGGTCTGTGGCGAAGGTGTAGTAAATGGGACCCACGATCTCATTCATGCCCTGAACGTAAGCGATGCCCGGGTTGAGTTTGGCGTAGATGAAGAGAATCCGCTCCACCACTTCCCAGTGCGCTTCACAGCCGTTCGGTAACACCTCGTACTCGTTAGAGGGATACAGGTTTAACGCCTTCCCCGGAGAACTCACCTGAACCACACCCAAAACATCAAACACACACGGACACGTGAAGAAATCAAGCCATCATCGATGAACACCACAGCTCTAACACCACTAGAGGAACAGTTTCTGCTGGAAGAAGAGTTATGACCCGAGTAGCAGGTTCAGAGAGCTCTACAGGATCACACACACACTCTCTCTCTCTCTCTCTCACACACACACACACACACACACACACACACACACTCTTGATACACTCCATCAGAAAACAACAGCAGATTTCATTATTGATCAATCAGATCTGTGAGCGCTTTGGGTGATCGTGCTGTTCAGACGCATTTTACTACAACTTATTATCTCACGATCCATAATGTTATTCTTTGTAACACAATGCATTTATTGTATTAACAGAGAGATTCACCATTAAATCACCCAGTCGCATCGGTCTAACAGGGACAGTGATGATACGCGTGCTCGTTCCCTTACAGGGCGTCACTACAGACAGCAGTCAAAGCCTCACCCTTCCACTGGCTGCTGGGGTCTGTGGCGAAGGTGTAGTAAATGGGACCCACGATCTCATTCATGCCCTGAACGTAAGCGATGCCCGGGTTGAGTTTGGCGTAGATGAAGAGAATCCGCTCCACCACTTCCCAGTGCGCTTCACAGCCGTTCGGTAACACCTCGTACTCGTTAGAGGGATACAGGTTTAACGCCTTCCCCGGAGAACTCACCTGAACCACACCCAAAACATCAAACACACACGGACACGTGAAGAAATCAAGCCATCATCGATGAACACCACAGCTCTAACACCACTAGAGGAACAGTTTCTGCTGGAAGAAGAGTTATGACCCGAGTAGCAGGTTCAGAGAGCTCTACAGGATCACACACACACTCTCTCTCTCTCTCTCTCACACACACACACACACACACACACACTCACACACACACACTCTCTCTCACACACACACACTCTCTCTCTCTCGCTCACACACACACACACACTCACCTGCTCAGAGCAAACAGAGCACACACACACATCATCAAAAGCACATGCATGCATCAGAAACACACACACACTCTCACGTTAGTGACGCCGCTGCGGTTCCGGTTCACTGTCTGGGCCTTGAGAGTCGTCTGCTCCACACGTCTCCGTAACGTCTCGTACTCGTTCTCGGGGTCCAGGATGAGCTGGCAGGGGAAGTCTGTGGGCCGCTGGAAGAACGCCATGTCTGGGTACAGCCGTCTGATGGCAGACATTACACACACACACACACACTAATGTTAATCTGAAACAACAAATGAAGACAGATTTAGATTTTTGGGTGAACTATCGCTTAAATTTGTTCCTCGTTGTGAAGGGTCAAACAGATGCCGCTCATTTGCCGAATTATGTGATTTATGTCTCATGTCTCATCAGTCACCTGACATCTTTATCGATCTGCAGCAGAACTTCGTTGTCTTTGAAGTAGGTGTTCCACCGACTGTCCGGGTTCGGATTCAGAGGCTGGAGACGAGAGAAGAACGTCACAAGAGTCAGGATTTAAGCTACAGTCTTCTCTCTTGGACTGTTCTTCAGTGTTTCGTTTGTTGTGATGTTCTCAGACTCACGTGATCCTCCAGAGTCACGTCCTCTCGAGACACACCCAGGTTTGCCTTAGCGATTCCCGGCTGAATGATCATCTCTCGCAAAAACTGAGCGTACAGATCCCTGACCAATCACAATCAAGCTCATTAGCATAATCAAACTGTGTGTGTGTGTGTGTATATTAGTGTGTGTGAGTGCGTGTGTGTGTATATTAGTGTGTGTGTGTGTGTGTGTGTGTGGGTGTATGTGTATATTAGTGTGTGTGTGTGTGTGGGTGTATATGTGTATATTAGTGTGTGTGTGTGTGAGAGTGTGTATGTGAGTGAGT